GGACTTTGGTTTTGGACCAAGTTAGGTTAAGGGTAAAATAGTCTTTTTACCCCAAGGATTGACTTATGGTTATGTATTGGAACTCAATTGTTACTTGGGTGTTGTTTTGATGTTAACAGTCCGGGAATCTGTCAACCGGCAGTTAGAGTTTTATCTGCGGGACTTTGGCAGTGTGAGCTGAGTCTCCTCACCATACTAATGGGTCGAAGGCACCAAGGTCGGCCCATTTTACAATATGTGGTACATTAGTTGATGTAGTGTTATGTGGCATGACAGTTGGTTATATGCTAGGTGGTATGCTAGTTGTATATGTGGTATACTTGCATGAAAGACCATGGGGGAGCCCATGACGCTTGGATGTAAGACCATGTCGGGGAGCCCATGGCTTTTCAGGTAAAGACCATGGGGGAAGCCCATGACACTTGGATGTAAGACCATGTGGAGATCTCATGGCTTTCCTATTAAAGACCATGGGTGGAGCCCGTGTCACTTGGATGTAAGACCATGTGAGGAGCCCATGGCTATCCTATTAAAGACCATGGGGGAGCCCATGGCACTTAGGTGTAAGACCATGTGGGGAGCCCATGGCATCCTTGAGTAAGACCCTGAGGGAGCCCACGATATCCTTATATGTTTATATGCTTGGCTTGCATATGCTAGTTGATTATGTGACGTGTGGTACGTTAGTTGTTTATGACAGTATGTGATATGTTAGTTGTCTTTGTGATAATTACATGGAAGACCTCGGGGGGAGCCCATGGCAGTTGGATATCAGACCATGTGGGGGAGCCCATGGCATTCCTTATATGTTCATACGCAAGGCTTATGTGATTGATATGGCTTAGGTGGTTTATGTAGCTGTTATAGCTAATATGGTTTATGTAGGTGATATAGCTTATATGATTTATGTGATTATATGGACTGTGTGGGTTATGCTCTGGGGAACTCACTAAGCTTTGTGCTTACAGTTTTGTTTATGGTTTCAGATATCATCGGTTTGGAAAAAAAGGATCCGACTTGATCGCAGCACACACACCCGTGTTTCCGCAATATATGATTTTGGGACGAACTCTGATGAATGTTTTTATTTAATCATGTTTTTGGAATGTTTGGATTTAAAGATATATGTGTTTGACTGTATTGAAAAATGAAATTTTTACCCTTGATTTTTGGGTCGTTATAGTGACGATCCTGAATGGAAAAGGAAGGATAAGAGAACAAGACATCTACCAAGTTATCTTTAGTTAGTTTACTAATACATAAAAGGTTTTGAGTGAGATTTGAGACAACCAAGATGTAATTCAAACGTATATGGTTATTGAGGATTGAGTGCCCTTTGTGAGTGACAGGGAGGGACTTACCATTATCAAATGTAACAGATTCGTTACCTATGGTAGAGGAAGCCTCAGAGACTGATTGAGTGGTGGAAGTCATGTGATCCGTTGCACCTGAGTCAACGAACCAATCAGGGAGTGGAGATGTGACATGGCATTGAGATAAGAAAGCAGAGGCTAAGTCATTATCCTTCACATCAATCCCAGCAGAAAATTTCTTTAGATCGGGACACACATTAGCATAGTGCCCATTGGTGCGTCACAATTGGAAATGGGGACTGCGTCTACCACCCGAATTGCCACGACCACCTCGAGACACGCCATTGTTTCCACCACGATAAGGTCCAAGACCCCCACGATTTCCATAAGCAGTCACATGTGGTCCAGAATTGGCATTGAAGGCGACATGTGTGTGGCGGAGTGATGAAGGGCCCTGATGAATAACTCGTGGCTTTCAGCCCGAGGGAGTAATTCAGCGAAGGACGGGGCAGGCCTGGTTGAACGAATGGTAGTGGAGAAGGTCTCAAAGACGGGTCCGAGGCCGCATAAGAACCAGTGTAATTGATCATCTTCATCAACGGGAAACCCTATAGCAACCAACTGATCACACAGGGCTTTGAAGGCACGACCGAATTCTGCAATAGATTTGGTTCCCTTCTGAATCAAACGAAGTTGATCACGAAGGTTATAAACCCTTTCAATTGATGAGTTACCATAAGCTTTTTCGAAGGCAACCCATATTTGTCTAGCGGTAGTTATACCCATGATAACGGTGATAGCTTCTTCCGATAACGAAGCTTGCAAAATGATGATGCATTGTTGATCGGCACTGACCCAAGACGTGAATTCAAGGTTCACGACAGCTTTGTTTTCAACGGTGATGGTGCTGGGTGGGCACGGGAGGGATCCATCGACATGCGAGATCAAGTCTTGATAGGTTAAGATGGGGTTCATCTGATTCTTCCTCAACAAGTAATTTGTGGAATTGAGTTTAACTATTATCATGTGCAGCAAAGTATTCAACGAAATTGAAGCATCAGAGGTGCTGGCCATGGAAAGAGGAGGGGAGAACAGAGGAAGAAGAAGGGACGGAAGCGAGAGGGACAGGGATAGAAAGTAGGAGATGAAGTGGGAGGGCTTTAAGTCTCTGATACCATGACAATAAGATGAATCGAATGAGTTTGTATAACATCAGAAGGTATCTATAAATAGATACAAAAGATACAATAAAGGAATGAAGAAATAAGAGAAATTCAACAATAGCCCCTACACATATTAAATACTAGAAGGTGATGAGTCGTTATTTACCCTTATTTCTATTTGCTTTTAAAAAGGGCTAAAGAAATAAAGTAAATTACACGAATTGTCCCTGTAGTTTGGGGTAATTTGCACGTTTGATCCCTAACTTATTTCTATTTGCTTTTAACTCGGAAAGTTCCTACAGTTTGTTTTTGTTGTGCACTTGGTCTCTGTCTTACCTAAAAATACTATTTTGCCATTGATTTTTTAATTTATTTAAATAAGGTGGGGTAGGTAAGGTAAAGTAATGTGAGGTGGAAGTAGGGTTGGGGTGTGTTTGTTTAAATAAATTAAAAATTCGAAGGAAAAATAGTGTTTATAGGTAAGACAGGACCAAGCACACAACAAAAACAAATAGTAGGGACCTTCCGAGGTAAAAAAAATAATTTAGGGACCAAACGTGCAAATCACCTCAAACCATAGGGATCATTCGTATAATTTACTCAAAGAAATATTTACTTATGGAACCCAACTAAAAACCCGTTTTAAGTTTTAACTTGACTAAACTGCACAAATGGTCAATGTGGTTTGCTCAAAATTGTCACTTTGGTCCAAAAAGGTTTGGACTAGCACCAGAGGTCCAAAGTTTTCATTTTGTTGCTTGTTTGGTCCAATCTGTTTTGATTTTTTTCAAAATGACGAATTTTCCCCTGTTAATATGATTTTCTTTTTTTCTTATTTTTTTTTCTGATTTTCATTCAAAATGACGAATTTTCCCCTGTTAATATAACTTGACTAAACTGCACAAATAAATCTCTCTCTTATTTATTTTTCTCTCTCTTATTTGTTTTTCTGATCAGATTTTTAAAAAATAAAAATAAATCTCTCTCTCTCTCTACACATCCCAAGAACACATACCACCATCATCTTCTTCAATCTCAGATCTTCAGGTCACACCCTTTCTTGCCCGCATCTTCATATTCTCTCTACAAACTTAATGAAACGAATTTCTCTCAGGATCTTCTCGTTTCTCTCTGTTTTGAGTTGGGTAAAAAAAACAAATCGGGTTCATCCAGAAATCGTAAGGAGAAAAGTCCATATCTTCGATTTCCATGAAAAAGAGCTGGAAACAGATGAGTAAACCTATTTGCTAAATCTATTCACTTGATGCTCTGATGTGTGCCTCCACTCTCAAAGAGAAGTGATTTGAAGAGACGAAATCAACCTTGATTTGAAGAGCTAGAGAAGTGATTCCCAGAAGATTCCCACAGAAATACATGGAGAGAAAGAGATTGTACTCATCGTTTTTACCTGATTAAGTTTGTTTTGGTGTTGTATCGCATCTTCAATTTGTGGATTCCTAAGGAGCCAATGCTCTTCAGTTGGTTATTGGTGTTTGGGTACCAACAACAGTAGAGTGGAGGAGGGAATGGAGGCGGTAGAGATGTGAATGGGTTGGGGGAAGGAGAAGAACGAAGCAACAAAGGCTCTTGCTGACTGCTGCAGTTAAGGGGCTGCTCCAGCGGCCTCTTGACTGTTCCTATTCTGATCTGGAAGAAAACGCGAACGTGAAGGGAAAGGGTAAGACAGATCGGAGATAGAACAACAATAGGTGGGGGCATTTGGGTTGCTATGAAGTCGGCGATAAGCACAAGGAAAACGGGAGGGGTTGTTGCCCTCTTGACAGCCGAAAAACCCCACCTCCGGTGGAGGTTTTCTCGATTAAAATTGAAGAAGAAGAAGAAGAAGAAGGGAGGCAGTAACAACAAGTATGGGGGTGTTTGGGTTGCTTGTCATCGAGAAAGAAGAAGAAAACATGGTTGGAACGGAGGGTAGCAGCCTCCTTTTTGTGCTTGGGTTTTCCAGAGAGAGAGAGTGAGAGAGAGGGGGGCGGGGGAAGGGAAGGAGGGAGGGAGGGAGGAGGGAGAGAGAGAGAGAGAAGAGAGAGAGAGAGAGAGAGAGAGAGAGAGAGAGAGATAGATAGATAGATAGATTTATTTATTTTATTTTATTTAAATCTGAAAATCAGAAAAATAAATAAGAGAGAGAGAGAGAGAGAGAGAAAGAGAGAGATTTATTTTATTTTTAATTTTATTTTTTATTTTTTTAAATCTGAAAATTAGAAAAAAAAAATAAGACAAAAAGAAAATCATATTAACAGGGGCAAATTCATCATTTTGAAAAAAAAATCAAAATAGATTCGACCAAACAAGCAACAAAATGAAAACTTTGCACCTCTGGTGCTAGTCCAAAACTTTTTGGACCAAAGTGACAATTTTGAGCAAACCACAGGGACCATTTGTGCAGTTTAGTCTTTTAACTTTCAAGTTAAGTTGTCCATTTAAAAAAAAAAAAAAGCTCATCGCCACATTTTAAGAGGGCTTCTTCTGTCAATTGAGTAATATTTCAGGGGTTGGTTTTAAAATAATGTCACCGAACGAGAATCATCTGTGTTACTTTATTCAACTGCTAGAGCGACAACTGTGGAAGCGGAAGCATGTGAACGTGCTCCAATTCAAAGTCAACTCCTCCATCTACACCACTCTAATTACAATTTACAAAGCAGCAAAGACATTTCTTCCTCATGGTAATTAATCTGCTGGTTCGCAAGGTGTCCGGTCTTCTCTCCAATCTTCCAGCTGTTCTTCGCATTTCCTTTACAGTTACAGTATTCATGTTTGGATAGAATATAGATTCAGTTGTGGAATATCTAATTCCAATGATGTTACGATCACCAAAAATCCAATTTATCGCTCTTCTGCTAATCAGTCTTGGAAGCCAAGTAATCTCAGATGCCTTTGATCATCGCTACAGTAATGGAGATACAATCCCCATCTATGCCAATAGAGTTGGTTTATACTCTAATCCTATGTTAGTCCCAATCCCTCCATTCATTTATTTTGGTTGATAAACTTGTCATTTATGTATGAATAATAGAAGTTATATCATGATTCATTTCATAAATTACATAGATATATGTGTAACACCACCAAAAACCGTTTACATAGCACCTTCTTCTTATTTAACTATTTGAAAAATAGCATCTTCATCTTCTATAAATATCATTTCCAGGGAAGCATATGATTATTACGATCTTCCCTTTTGTTCTACAGGTATTTTTCTAATGTGTTTGTCATTTGTTATTCTTTTCTTCACCTACTATGAGCTTTCTAATTCTAACTTATTTCCTAAAGATGCTGTGAAAAAGAAGGTTAATCTAAATGAGCTTTTGGCTGGAGGGCATCTTGTTCCAACTCCATATAAGGTTGAATTCCGTGTGGACAAAGTGTTGGAGTTATTATGCAACAAGAGACTCAATAAATCAGATGTTTCTCAGTTTCGTAGTGTGGTACAGAAAGATTATTACATGCATTTGTATTGTGACGACTTGAAAATTCAGGGTTTTGTTGGAAGGGTTGAAAGCGATCATAGAGATGGAATGATCAAGAGCAAATATTTCATTTACAACCATTTTTGTTTTGACATTTTTTATAATAAAGATCGTGTTATTGAGATTCTCATTCAAGTAGATCCCAGTTATGTAGTTGATATAACAGAGGACAAGGAAGTTGAGGTGGATTTCACATACTCAGTTAAGTGGATACCAACACAACAGCCATTCAATGAGAGAATGCAGAGGTACACAGTTTCTTCTTATTCGGATTTTGTGTCAGATGTAACCGAAGACAATATGACATTTGATAAGGTCCATGGTTACTCGATTGTAAATTCAAGTTTTACAATCTTCATTCTGATAATTGGCATACTGATCTTTTACAAACGAGTGATTCATAAAGACATTTCCAGGTATGAATACTACCAAATGAAACTAAATATGCGTTTATAATCCTCTATGGCCCTTAATTTTCATCTAATACAAATCTTTTCCTTAATTCACGAACATAAAAGATATAGATGTGATGTTGAAGTGGCGGAAATGGCCGACTGTAACCAAGAAGAAGCTGGATGGAAGAACATTCATGGTGATGTGTTTAGATTCCCAAGACATAAGTCATTGTTGGCTGCAGCTCTTGGTTCTGGATCGCAATTACTTGTACTGTTAGTATTTCCCAAATTATGTCTTCTTTTCCTTCTCCTTTTCAATGTTTTATACTATATTTTTACATGCAAGCTGTTGGAATGAATCCTAAGAACAGAAGAATCTAGATGAAAGACTTCTGCAGAAAGATTTTTTTATAACATCATCTTTATTAGCACAACAACATTGATATTACAGAGATACTAAGGCCTCGTTTGTTTTTCTACAAAAATACTTTTTGAGCACTTTTCCCTTCTGACGGGTAGACGTTTCTCAAGTGCACGTCTTTTTCCGCAAACATGGAAAAAGACAAACGACATTTAACCACTTCCAAAACAAACAGCACCTAAATGATTCTATTTTCCCATGAAACTCCCATTGCATTAATCACAATAAATATACAATTATAATAGGTGAGAAGGGCTATTCAAACCAGACCCAGAATGTACCACGTATATTGTGATATAACACATACACATTAACATCATCGACCGCGAGTCCGGAGCAAATGTTTAAACCGGTGCGAAATAGAGATGTTGGAAGCCCTTTGATGAAAATATCCGCATTATTGAGATGTTACTGGGACATGGAAAACCAAATACGACCCAAGCCAACATGGTCGCGGATGCAGTGGATGTCTATCTCATTATGTTTGGTGCACTTATGTTGCATCGGGTTGGAAAACTTACGCGACGCAGACTTTATGACATTAAAAATTATTTGTCGTGTTAGGAGACGAATGTAACTCACATAGAAGATTACATAGCCAATTGGTCTCAGCTTTTGCATTAGCTATGTCTCGGTATTCAGCCTCGATGTTGGAACGTGAGATAGTAGCATGCCGTTTGGATGAACATGAAATAAGATTACAACTGAAAAACAAACAGTACCCAAATGTAGATCATCTAATTGTGGGGCAACCGCCCAAATGTAGATCATCTAATGGTGGGGCAACCGCCCCCAGTCTACATCAAAGTAGGCAACAAGATCCAAGGTATATGAGGAATGAACAGACAAATTTGTTGAACGGTGTATGTAAGATCGAATCTAGTTAATGCCACGTACTAAAGGGAACCAATGATGCGATACTAGATACGGTTACTAACAAGTGGTCCTGAAGCGCCAACTTAGACTAAGTGTTAGCAGGGTACGACAAGGTTTGCAGTTCATCATCACTGCATGTTCCAATATCTCAGTGGCATACTAAGTATGGTCGAGAAGGAGACTGATGGTTGGCCGATAGGCGAAATTCCCAAGGAAGAAATTGAGCTTCTCAATATCTATCATGGAAAACTCAATGGATATGCCAGTTATGATCCGATCAAGTAAACTCATGGTGTAACATCCCAAGTAACATCCTAAATCATAAAGTTTCCATATTTATGACTTTGCATGGCTAGAAAGTGCCTAAAACCAAAACCTTAACTTATTACACAACCCCAAGATTGACATCTCTTGCATGGGTGAAAGGAAAGAATCAAGATTGTATTTTTATGATTTCATGCAGACAAGGACATCTGAAAATGTTACTCGTGGGGTATGGAGTAGCTCATACTCATCTAGACCAAGAATATGGGACAAAAAGGACATAAAGCTAAGAACTAATAAGATCTAACAAATCATTCACCAAGTTCTGAACTTTATACCTCTTGGAGATTGCTAAGGAGATGTAAGGTCCAGATCCACAAAGCTTGAAACTTTCCAAGTGGTTTCCAAGAGCTTTTTTCCTTCAAAGATGAACACAAAATAGTTAAAAGCCTCAAAACTTCACAAATAGAGATTAGAGATTACAAGGGGTCTTTTGAGTGGATGGATGTTGAAGGTGGAAGGGGTTTATGAGGGTTAATGTGTTTAAATAGGGCTCAAAACCCTGGATTTAGAGTTTGTACTCTGGCCGAGTACGCCCTGTGTAATCCTTATTTACGCTCGGCGTAATTCATTAAAGTCTCGCCATCATTCATCCTTCTACGCAGCACGTAGAGTCTATCTACGCCCTGTGTAGACTTAAAACCCACAATAAAACTTTCTAAATAAAGAAGGGATTTTACCTGAAATAACCGGGTGTTACAATTCTCCCCCACTTGAATCAGACTTTGTCCTTGAAGTCCGATGTTGCGAATAACTCTAGGCATTGCTCCCGTATCTCAGCCTTGGGTTCCCATGTCCACTCGGAACCCTTCCGATGTTTCCACTAAACCTTGACCAAAGGTACCACCTTGTTGAACAAGGTCTTTGCCTTCCTATCTAAAATCACCACTGGTCTCTCGACATGGTTCAGGCGCTCATCAGCCTGATTATCGTCCAAAGGAACTAATGTCGAATCATCAGTTACACACTTCTGAATCTGAGAAACATGGAAGGTGTTGTGAATCCGACCAAGCTCCTCAGGTAGATCCAAACGATAGGCTACCTTGCCAAACCTAGCCACCACTCGTAATGGTCCAATAAATCGGGGCCCCAACTTGCCCCTCTTCTCGAAGCATATAACACCCTTCCAGGATGATACCTTCAATAAAACCATATCCCCGACCTAAAACTCTAACTCAGACCATCGTCTGTTGGCATAACTTTTCTGCATGCTCTGAGGCTTCTACAATCTTTTCATGAACTGTTGGATGAGCTTGGTTGTCTGAAGGACCGCCTCGGTCTTCCCTATAACCTTGTAACTGACCTCTCCCCAACAAATTGGTGTACGACACTTCCTCCCGTAAAGAAGCTCAAAAGGTGGCACACCAATACTATAATTATAGGTATAGTTATAGGAAAACTCAGCTAGGGGAAGTTAGGAGTCCCAACTCCCATCGAAATCTATGACAAAAACTGTCAACATATCCTTGAGCGTCTGGATGGTCCGATCGTTCTGGTCGTCAGTGTGCGGATGATAGGCAATGTTGAAGTGCAATCTCGTATCCATTTCCTCGTGGAACCTTTGCCAAACTCATAAAGTGAACCGAACATCTCGATCAGATACAATGGAGACTGGAACACCATGCCGAGCGACGATCTCATGCTCATACACTTCGGCCAATTTCTCAGCCGAGGAACTCTCCCGAATAGCCAGAAAGTGGGCACTGTTGGTTAGACAATCCACAATGACTCATATCGCATCAAATCCTTTAGCTGTCCTGGGTAACTTGTTGATAAAATCCATGGTGATCCATTCTCATTTCCACATGGGAGCCTTCAAAGGGTGTAACTTGTCGTGCAGCCTCTGGTGTTCGACCTTGACCATCCGACAGGTCAACCACTTCTCTAAATACCAGGCAATCTCCCTCTTCATGCACGACCACCAGTAACTAAGTCTCAAAACCCGATACATTTTTGTGGTTCTAGGGTGTATCGAAAACCTGCACTTATGTGTCGCCTCCATCACGGTTTGCCTAACCCCACCAAAATTTGGAACCCAAACCTGAGCACACTGAGTCAAAAATCTATGTTTATCGGTGACAATCCTACTGATCTGGCCTCTGATTCTCTCTTTCTTCTGGTGCTCACTCTTAAGTCCCACGGTCTGAGCCTCGCTGATCAACTACAAAAGTGGCAAATCGATAGAAATCATCATACATAAACCCCCAACAGAAGTACTAGCCGTCGTGCGGCTCAAAGTGTCAACGACCACATTCGCTTTCCCGGGATGATAAAGAATCTTTCAGTCATAATCCTTGACCACGTCTAGCCATCTACGCTGTCTCATATTTATATTCGGTTGATCCATGATATATCTCATACTCTTGTGATTCATGTAGATAGAACATCGGACCCCATACAGATAATGTCGCCAAATCTTGAGGGAAAACACCACTACTCCTAACTCCAAATCATGTGTCGGATACCGAACCTCATGTGGCTTCAACTGTCTAGAAGAATACATAATCCCTCCCTCGCTGCATGAGTACCACCCCGAAACCGGTGATAGAAGCATCACAATATACAACAAAATCATCCACGCCCTCCAGAAGGGTCAACACCAGGGCCTCACACAATTTATGTCTCAATATCTCAAACACAGCATGCTGCTCAGGCCACTGGTGAAAATCTACACATTCCTCGTCAAACGAGTGAGAGGTACAACAACCTTGGAGAAAATCCCGAATAAACCTCCAATAATAACCTTACAAACCCAGAAAACTCCTAATCTGCGAGGGAGACTTCTAGACCTCCCACTGCATAACTGCCTCTATCTTGGCCGGATCGACCAAAATCTCATTCTAGTTAACGAGGTGTCCTAAGAACTACACCTTCCGTAGCCAAAACTCACACTTCTAGAACTTGGCATAAAGCCTCTCCCTCCTCAAAACTCCTAGTAGCTCTCGAAGGTGCTTTTCATGCTGCTCCTTGGTCTTGGAATAGACCAGGATGTCATCAATAAAAATAATCACTGAACAATCGAGCGTCGGCCTACAATCCCGATTCATCAAATCCATAAATGACGTCGGTGCATTGTTGAGTCCAAACGGCATACCTACGAACTCGTAATGACCATAACGAGTACGGAACATTGTCTTCTCCACATCCTATTCTCAGACTCTCATATGATGATACCGTGACCTCAGATCGATCTTGGAGAACCAAGACGCACCCTGCAGCTAATCGAAGAGATCATCAGTATGTGGAAGTGGGTAACGGTTCTTCACCATCAATTTGTTTAGCTATCGTTAATCAATGTACATCCGGTGTGAACCATCCTTCTTCTTTATGAACAAAAATCGGTGCTCCGCATGGGGATCTGCTTTCTCGGATAAATTGCTTGCCCAAAAACTCCTGAGATGAGAGGACAACTCCTGCATCTCGGGTGGTGCTAATCGGTACGGTGCCCTACAATCGGGGTCGCGCCAAGAACCAAATCAATCCTGAACTCAACCTGCCTCGTAGGAGGTATGCGGGTAAATCCTCCGGGAATACATTTGGGAACTCACTGACTATAGGCACATCCGAAACTGAAATTCTCCCTTCTTCCTGAGTGTCAACCACGTAAGCGAGATAACCCAAACATCCATGCTGAAGATACTGTCGGGCCCAGGTGGCTGAACAAAAAGTTGAACCAACCTTGGTACTCTCGTCATAAATAATCAGTTATCCCCCACTTAGGGTTCGAACTACCACCCACTGTCCCTTACAATCGATCATGGTACCAAATCTACTCAACTAGTCCATCCCTACTATCACGTACACATCCCCCATATGGATGGAAATCAAAATCGATCAGGTAGACACCCCGAATATCTCTAAGAAACAATCTCGAAAAATGCTTAAAGCAGAAATCCCATGCTCGTTGGCGATGATAACTCGCAACAAACACTCCAAAACTCCGAGTGTCATATCAAAACTCCTATTGAAGGACTAAGACACAAAAACACCGACTCACACTCAAGTCAAAAAGCACAAGAGCAGGCAATGAGTTCACTAAGAAGGTACCTAACATAAATAGAATCATAATCGTATAATAAAATATCTTGACAGAATAATAAATGAGAACATACCAGTAACGATGTCAGGTGCCACCCCGGCCTCCTCTGCTATGAGCTGGAACACACGACCCTTGGCCTTTGGGGACTCAGCTCTCCCCTAACGTCTATCCATAACCCTCAAAGTAGTCGGGGCTGGTGCCTGCACGGGCCTAGCAGCAAGAAACAGACATTGGGCCTTCACATGGCCCACCTGATCATAATGATAACAAATCCGGATACTCACAAGTGGAGCCTGTTGACGACAATCCCTTGCAAAATGCCCCTCCTTACCACATTCGTGGCACCAAGAAATTGACCGGCATGCACCCTCATGTGCCTTCCTGCACTTGCAAAGTACCGCCCCTCTGTCCTCCAAATCGTGAATCAACGGGCTTAAACCGCTTTGCTGCTGGCTGTGACTGTATCGGAGCTTGCCTCTACTCCCTCGTATGGATCTCGATCTCAATCTCTCACCTTCACGCGACATCCCGAAGCTTGGAGAGGGTACAATATCATTGGGTAGACACAAACTCCCGAATCCCAGTCTTGAGCATGCTCAAGTATCATGACATCTGGGCCTCCTCTGAAGCATAATACTCAAGGAAGAAAAGAGCTCTCTTAATAAACATCTTGTTGATCTCCGTCGCCGACTTTGTCGTCTGCTTCGACGATAGATATTCCTGATCAAACCTCTCCCTCTCCACTAGGGGAACATACTTAGTTCAAAACATCTCCAAGAACTGCCCCCAAGTAATAGCAATCAACTACTTAGGAGTAGAAGAACTGGTCACCAGGTTCCACCAATCCTTCGCACCCAGACGAAGAAGGTTCATGGCGCACCTGACTTCTAATCATCCAAACAAGAACATGTGAAGAAGCAACGCTCCACTTCATAAATCCACATCAATGCTACGATCAGGTCCTTGACCCCGTCAAACTCCAAGGGCTTCATATTGCATAAGTCCCGGTATTGGAATGACCCTCTCCCATAAACCCCCACAGCAGGAACAACTACGGTAGCTATAACAGCAACAACCTCAGTCATGACGGAGTATTGCTCACCAAAAAGCTCAATCGTTGCGGTCTTAATAGACTCAAAAACCTACGGGATCACCTCCCTAATAGTCATGGTCACCTGAGTGGTGATCATCTCATGAATCTCCTCATCCGTCAACCTTGGCCTCTCCGGGTCGCCAACTCCTGCTTTAGAACCCCTAGTGATCGGCATACTAAAAAAAAACCGGCATACATCATACAAACCATAATTCAACTATTACAATTATCATGGAAAGACTAAACCCTTGGGGTTCGTGACTTCCTTGCTACATGTACGGGTCCTGAGCTTTTAGTAGTACAGGCCCATACTACCTTCCACACCTACCCATATTGGTCTCAAGGGGTAGTCACAAACCACCCGACCATAAGGCCCAACATCGAGGACACACATACATCATATACATATTCCCTCAAGAGTGGTTAATCCTTCCTCACGCTGACCTACTACAATCCATACTCACTCATGAAACTTCCATTAACCCTACAGCTGCTCGGGTATGCTATGCATACATACCACTAGATTCGATAGATAGTCGAATACCTGATTCAAACTTAATCCCACAACCAAACAAGGAACATGAAATAAGGCTAAATCAAACATTCTCAAGTTATAAAATCTTAGTTATGTACAACTATGATGCATACACTAAGCAACCACAGTAATGATGCCGGTTCTATATAAAAAGATATTCTCCTAGGCAATTAGGCATCATACATAGGGCAATTCTATCATGCAACTCCTGAAGACCTTTAGCCTACAAACTAGCATGCAGTTTTATCATAATCATTACAAGCAAATAAAAGTGTGAGTATCTTGGGGAATACTTCTTGCTCCGACAGATCGTACACATCGCATCCTTCCTTAGTTACTTTTAAAAAACAATTTGAAAATAATTTGAAAACTTATGCAAATCCTCAGTTTGAGTCTGGATTCATACGGATGTTCATTCAATTATCTCAAATTCGGGCTCTGATACCAACTTGTAACATCCTAAATCATAAAGTTTCCATCTTTATGACTTTGCATGGCTAGAAGGTGCCTAAAACCAAAACCCTAACTTATTACACAACCTCAAGATTCACATCTCTTGCATGGGTGAAAGGAAAGAATCAAGATTGCATTTTTATGATTTCATGAAGACAAGGACATCTAAAAATGTTACATGGGGTTTGGAGTAGCTCATACTCATCTAGACCAAGAATATGGGACAAAAGGGACATAAAGCTAAGAACTAACAAGATCTAACAAATTATTCACCAAGTTCAGAACTTGATACCTCCTGGAGATTGCTAAGGAGATGTAAGGTCCAGATCCACAAAGCTTGAAACTTTCCAAGTGGTTTCCAAGAGCTTCCTTCCTTCAAAGATGAACACAAAACAGTTAAAAGGCTAAAAACTTCACAAACGGAGATTAGAGATTGCAAGGGGTCGTTTGAGAGGATGTAGGCTGAAGGTGGAAGGGGTTTATGAGGGTTAAGGTGTTTAAATAAGTCTCAAAACCCTGGATTTAGGGTTTGCACTCTAGCCGGGTACGCCCTATGTACTCCTTATTTACGCGTGGTGTAATTCATTAAAGTCTCGCCATCATTCATCCTTCTACACAACGTGGAGATTCTATCTATGCCCTGAGTATACTTAAAACCCACAATAAAACTTACTAAATAGAGAACGGATTTTACCTGAAATAACCTGGTGTTACACATGGAGGATGCGGTCAACACAATATCATCGACATATAGTAACAAGTATGCTATCTCTCTGCCCTGCCAAAACATAAAGTGGGAGGATTCTGAGTGACTATAAGCAAAGATGATACGCATCACATATGTAGCAAAGCAGTGAAATCATGAGCGAGGTACCTGTCGAATGTCATAAAGAGACCAACGAACATAACGCACGTGATTTGGAAAACGATTGGCCTAAAACTCTAAAAATTGATGCATATATATATATATATATATATATATATATATATATATATGGTTTACTTTAGGTGACCGTGTAGAAAAACATTTTTGACATCAACTTTATGTATAGGCCACGGTGATGAGAGACCGCAATGACTCAAAATGGTGTGGTTATTGGCCGACTTGACAATCGAGTTTTGTAGAGAGACAGAAAACCATCAACAAGTAGCTTTCTTTTAGAAAAGTCACATATAACGAACAACATTGGCCGCAGGTATGCGCAGGAAAATTTTCACATGTCATTAGCAATGAGTGATTTGAACTCATCATCCATGGTTTATTTTCAATTGGGCTCTCGGTATGATTAAGGGAATGGGGAGATAGTGGTAGCATAGGTTGAGGAGTTTCATTGCCTTGGTAATTCCTTGATCGCTTCACGTCGTCATAGGGTAAGTGGTCGGTGTCGGGGCATGGGACAGGGATATCAAAATAGTCAGGAAAGGTTGGTAGGATGATAGTGGTTTTTCGGTCTTAGAAGTGGGTGATGGTTTTTATTGATTTGGCTCGGTATGTTGGGCGGATGAATGGATGGTCAGTGAGGGGGAAGACAACAATGTGTTGGCTGTGTTTGGTGTGGAGAGTGAGCTTGTGAGGTTTAATTTTAAGTGGTTATCATAGAAACCCAAAAACTCAAAGATGGTTATATGTTGGGTGGTTTTAAATATTCAGAAAAATGTTGTCTCGTTGTTGATTGCAGAAGATGGTAGAATATTGAGGAGGTGAGTTTGCATGTCTAATGCTTTGACCCAAAAATAAGGTGGGAGGTGTATATGGAATAATAGAGTTCGAATGGTGTTGTTAATTGTTCAAAGCATGTGCTCGGATTACCATTTTAGGTGAATTATGTGTACACGAAAAACGGAATTTGATTATGTGTGTGGAGAAGTATGAGTGAAAAGACATGTTGTCGTATTCACAATCGTTATCAAATATGAATGACTTGATGTTGCAGCCAAATTGAGTTTGAACATACGAATCCAACATTACATTCCACAATAGTAGAGTTTAATCCATTGAATGTCGCTTAGACATGTCACCTCATTCAACTCTATGATTGAACTATACATAGTGGATGCTTTTATTTTCAATATTTTATGGTATATTTTTTTACGAATATTCATTGCTATTATTGCTTTGTAACATTATTTTTGCTAAATTTTCAGCATGGTGGTGATTCTTATTATGGGAATTATGGGTGTTTTCCAGCCATATCATCAAGGAGTTTTCTTGAATTCACTTGCCCTCGTTTATGCTGTAACATCTGTGGTCTCAGGATATACATCAGTTTCTTTTTATCACAAACTAGAAGGGACCAACTGGGTATGTGAAAATATCAACATTATTTGACCATCTATTTATGAATTCAGATTCTCATAACATTTTTTGCTTGGCAGATGAAGAACATATTGTGGACAGGAGGATTATATTTTGGGCCTCTCTTTCTTACATTTGCCTTCAATAATATAGTTGTGGTTGTTAATGGATCAACTTCTGTGCTTCCACTAGGTGAATTAATAATGTTATCTCTTTTGTGGATATAACTAGGACTTCCATTTCTTCTTTTAGGGGCAGTCATAGGGAAAATCAAAAAATATGATTTTCATGCTCCATGCAGAATCACTAAATGTCCTAGTGAGGTTCCTCGGATGCGTTGGTACAAGCATAACCTCCCACATATTGTTTTTGCTGGAATTTTACCATTTAGTGTCATCATTATTCAGCTTCACGACATACTTTGCAGTGTCTGGGGTCATGGGATTTACATATTTTATACTTCTATGTCTATAATATTCTTTCTTCTTTTGCTCATCACGATTTTAGTATCTGTGGTGGAGGTGAGTTTAAAAGTTTTTAGCTTGGCTTCTTTATCTTTCCTCTTTGAAATTCATTATTCTCATTTTATTTTGTGAGCAATTTTTCTCAAAATTAAATAGAAGTTTATTTTGCATGCACATATCGTTTTTCGTTGGTGGGTCTACTGGATTGTATGTCTATGGTTACTCCATCTATTATTATTTTTGTCAGTCAGACATGAATGGTTTAGTACAAACCTCCTCCTTCTTTAGCTACATGGCTTGCATCAGCTATGGAATTTTTCTTTTGCTTGGAACAGTGGGTTTCCATGCCTCATTGCTTTTTGTCCGCTGTTTATACGCTTCTATAAAACATGATTAGAAAAGGAATGAGTGTGTCTTCAACAGCAATTACATAAGTAGTAAAGACTTTGCCAGTGATATTAAGATTCTCGTGTTCAATTGGATTAAAATCATCAGAGGGAAGAGAGGTTCGTGTATAGAGTGGGACAGATGGTGTTGTAATCAAAAGTTTGAATGTTGTAACGCTCTTTAATCCCTAGCCTCTCGCTAGTTTTTATATAAAATTTTGTTGTTCAAGAAAACTTAAAAAATAAAATGTGATTAGTAGGTACATGGTTATGGATATATTATTGTTGATAATTGATTTTAAATGCATCCCTTTTGCTCATTTACTCATAGTGGTACACATTTCAGCAAGTTCATTAGGGGAATCAAGTCATTATAACTATTCAAGAAAGCGGAGACTATAATGACATTTCATTGGCATGAAGAACATAATAGTGGGACTAGACCTTGTGTTCCCTACCATTCGGTTCTTAACAAGTATATAGATGAATATTTTTTCAGGAATATGATCTTTCTTGTGTTGTGTTGTGTTGTGTTGTTAGAATTATGAGTCTTATAGATATGCAATAGTCACTCAATGCATCAAGGGCACATTTTTGACACCGAAGTATTCATGTTGGTTTATATATCTTTATTAAAGACAATTTATGAAAACCCTCATAAAGTTTACTATGTATTCCAATATATAATATATATATATATATATATATATATATATATATATATATATATATATATATATATATATATATAGAGAGAGAGAGAGAGAGAGAGGTAGGTTCAAATGTTTCTCACATCTATTGTGTGCTAGAATGCACCAATAAGAATTTAGTATTAATTATATGTATATTAAATGTTATCCATATTTATAACTCATTTTTATGGAAACTAATTAAATTTATCATTAATGTCAACAATAATATTTTTTTAGAATGAATTCATATCTAGAAGAATGAGAGTGTATTCCAGCAGAATGAAAGTATATTCTAGTAGAAATACACCCTCGTTCTTCATATTCCATGCAACTTTATTGTATTTTAAGTGAGTGAGTCCTGAAACAAAATACGAACTCATATATAAAAACGTAGATGCGAATTCATTCTGAAAGAATGTTATTGCTGACATTAATGACAGATTTAATTAGTTTCCATAAAAAGAGAATTATAATTATGGATATCAATTAATATACATATAATTATGGAAATCATTTAACAAGGTCGGTGATGAGGGTGTGCAATATGGACATGTACACAGGGCCCTATTTTTTCAAGGGGCCCAACTTTTTTTTAGTATATGTAGTATTATCCCAAATCTAAGTTCCAACATAGTCCAGATTAATTTTTGTAGTCAGACGCGAGAACGAGAACAAAAGCAGCAGAACAACGATTGGCAAATCGTGAAATCGTTGGAGAAGCAGCGATTTAGTGATCATTCAGGCCTCTGACTTCATCATTCAGCAACGAGGGCGAAGGGTTTAGGGTCTCATTCACTCATTTGAATCACATAATCAATCATTATCAGGTAATTGATTACCATCAATTCATCACCGGCCATGGAAATTCTTTTTTAGTTTGATTTTTGTTTCTCTATCTTTTATATATGGTGTATCACCTGTTAACTTTTCTAGGTCTGTTAAATACCATGTATATGTTGCTTTTGCTTAAATTAGCGTATAATAAATCACAATTGATAATCAGTTATTCAGTTTATAATTGATTGATTGAATATTTCATAGTTCATACTTGAATAGTTCAATGAATAGATTATCAGATATAGAAATCAGAATGTTGAACTTGAATCATTATGAGTTTGACATTTTATCACTTATTCACTTTATCATAATTTTAATGACTTCATGTTGAAATTTAGATTATATGTTTATTGTATAATTGTTTATCAGAATTCAGAAATAAGAATGTTGAATCATTATCACTTTATCAGATTATCATTATTGATTAATGTTGAAATTCTGAAATCTGATTGAATGTGGAATCAGAATATAACAGATTATGACAACTGAAATTAGATTATCAAATTATGTTTAGTGTATAATTGTTTATCAGAAAATTAAGTTTGGAAGTTGTTTTGTTGGGTTTTGGTAATTTTTGGACAAAAGGGCATTTTGGTCCTATTTCCTGAAATGGTTAATTCTATCCCTTTTAGAGTGATCTAAACATCAAAAGAACAATGCCAACACCTTCTAATATGTTAGCAGACCTTGTGTTTCGAAATTCAAGCCAATTGGACTTAAAATGAGTGATTTCATCATCTCCATAATCATTCCGGTTCTTCAATCTTCCGACTTTTGCTTCGCATCCAGCTGCCTCCTCTTTCTCTCTCTGCAATTTAGTTCAACATCCAATCAACAAAATTTGCAGAAACTACTCTAAATGTGCACAAATCGCCTAAAATGTGCACAATTTCTGACTTCTAGGGCCTTTTTTTCTCGCTCCTCCTGGGCATTTAAATCCTTAGGACCAGCCCTGTCATTTAATATCTATATTTATTTAATTAAATAATTATTTAATTTACTAAATTCCTATTGGTGCATTGTAGCACACAATAAATGTAATAAACAAAATAACCTAGCCCTACATATATATTTATATATATATATATATATATATATATATATATATATATATATATATATATATATATATATATATATATATATACATATCAGTATTGTTGGGGGTCTGTCCCCATGGCTCATGTGCGCCCTAAGGATCGATTACTTAAAATAATAACCGATTCTAAAATCATATCTCACGTTTCTGCTTCTCTTCTTATACACCATATTGATTCCTTGAAATGGCTTCTTATTCAAGCTAAGAACATAAACTTAGAAGAATTCTAAAATGGAATTCTACTATTGTGAGGATAAAGCTCCTATATTTATCTTTTGTCCTAGGATTGTTATCACAAGATTGAGTCTTTTAAAAATGTGTCACAATGTTATTTGTATCGTTCCAAATTACAGAAGAAAAAAAATCCATCTTTAATAGTAGTAAAACCATTCGTTTTCATTCCAAGCTAAAAAGATAAATGAAGTGTAAGTTTATCAATTCCATAACCAAATATCAGAATACTAAAAATATAAGTCACAAAATGCGGAAATCCCCAATGGATGCAATGCAATCAAGCTGTGTCATTTCCCTTGCTACCGGAACAACCTGAAATATTTTAAAACTTGAAACCGTAAGAAAAAAGTTTAGTGAGTTCCCCAAAATACCACATAACATACAAATAAAGGACCTAGCCCCAACAGTTATGTTTTCGCCCAGTGGGTCCAGCCCAATGTCTCCAACCCACCATGCCTAACCCAAAAAATATGTAAGCATACAACAACTAGCTACGCATACATCAAGCATATATCAAGACCAGTATCCTACATAATATAGTTAGAAAATTCACTTGAATCAAAAGTTGGACAACAAATACTCAAGATATTGCAACGACATCCACACAAACCACCTAAACCAATTAGATCTCACACCCCAGTCTATAGCTCGAAACCTCCAAGTTTGACTAAATGTCAAACTGGTCAAAAATTCAAAGGTCAAGGTCAACTACCACCGACCACTACGTCGCGACCAACTCAAAGGTCGTGTCGCGGTCACTAAAAGACAAAACAATTGAGACTGGGTCTCGCGACCCGCGTCGCGGTTTATGATGTTAATCCAACTTTTTAACCAAGGTCTTAATTCATAAAGACCAGGGTTCTAATCTTCCAGAACACACCAAAAAAAGGGCTTAATGGATAAAGTTTTCAACTTTATCCATTTTCATGCATCAAACCAACTCAGTCCTAATGTAACGCCCGGTTTCAGGTATAAACTATTCATTTTTTAAGCTATGGCCACGGTGTGGCTGATGGACTGACACGACGGGGTATCACTTAAATGATAGCATGGGTATTTGGATCCCCACGACGTAGTCATGCAATGGTCACATCGTGGTGTCCGTTTTATGACAAATCTTAAATTTTCAGGCCTTGAGCCCTATTTAAAGGAAGTGATAGCTAGGGTTTCGTCTATTCTCATCCTTCATCTCTCTCCAAACTCATAAACGCAAACCCTAGCCTCCTTTGCAATATTTGAGCTCACTTTTGGTTCCTTTGTGGTATTTGAAGGAAGAAGAAGGAGGTTTAGTCCAAGAAGCAAGCAAGCAATTCGCCGCCATCTCTTATGGGTGTTTTCTGGACCATTTTCAAGTTCTCAAGCTCTCAACTTGTTGAGTTCTTCCTTTATATCTAGACTCTTTGGCTTGTTTTGGGTCATAGTTGAGATATGTATGGTTGAAAGGCATAAAAATTTGGAAACTTTATGGCTCACCAAGGTCTCAAAGGCATTATATCTCCTGGATCTAGAACTTGG